TTTTTTTTTTAAGAAAAATGCAGGTTCCTTGATTCACTTTTTCTTCTTTTCCTCGTATATTTTCTTGTACCTTGAGTGGTTTATTGTATATTTGATATAGGTACATCACCAAGACAAAGGCATAGGAGCTACGGATCGCCGTTATATGTTTATGAATGCCTTTGTTTTCACCTTTGTTTGTCATTTTGCATTCTTAGGTTTATATAACTAATGGTTATTCAATGAAACTCATGAAGCATTGAAGGATACACAGACAACGGATCTTGAAGTTTCATATTCAATCGCAACAATAGGGGAGTATTACTTTCTTTATCTTAGTTTCCCTTTTTACACATTGAGGACAATGTGCATGTTAAGTGTGGGGAGAAAATTGAGATTATATGTATTGTATGTGATTGATTTGTTGGTTCCAAAATTACAAAATTACCCCAAAAAAGTTTCAAATTTTTTTAATTTTATCCAAGGGGTAACCAGTTTCATACCATTAGTAGTTCAAATTCCTTCTATATTTGAGATAAATATATGTGATTTGAAAACTTCTTTTCTTATTTAATTTGAAAATAATTATTATGTGATTATAATTTGTGCATTTGTAGGAAAGTATATCTTGTAAAGTGGAGAAAATTATGCCTATTTTTTTCATATTTAATGAAATTTCTTCTCTTTATTTGATTTTATAAGTTAAGTGATAAATATGGTCAATAATTGCAATACTCTTCTCATAATTATTCTTTTTAGGGAATGTTATTATCTTAGCTTTGAAAAAAAAAAGAATAAAAAAAAGGACAAAAATAGAATAAGAGTTGTTCTACTCCAATGATTCTTGTACTTAGTAACCGGGAGTCTTCATCTACAAATGTCGACTTTCGTGTAAAACGGTATTTGAATTAAGAGTATGCAAAGCAACTTGAGTATGTGAAGTGTTGAGTAACCGGCGATCTTCATCTAAAAATGTCGATCCTTGCATAAAAAAGTACTTTCATAACTTAAGTATATATTTAGCTATATTATATGAATAAATCCCTCTTTAAGTTTGAATAAGAGATGATCACGAGTTTAGGAAGCATTTTATTGACCGTATGAGTTACTTGCTTGTAAAATTGGGTAAGGATGAGAAATTGACTTGAATTTGTTGTAATGACGGTATAATTGGCTCTCCTTTACTTGATATTATGAGTACTTGAGGTTATTAAATGATTGCATAATAGTTATTTACTTTGTTTTGAGGAAATGAAGTTGACTTGAGCATATATAGTTATCTTCAAATATTTTGAATCATTGTTGGGTTATATTTCTAATTGCTTCAGGACAAGCAATAGTTCAAGTGTGGGGTATTTGATAAGGGTTTATTTTACATATTTTTAAGTGCATTTTATTAGTTAATTTTGGTTTGATTATTTAGTTTTATAACTAAAATAACTAAGGTTTTGGTAAAAATTTACATTTTATGTTAAGGTGGCTAACATTGCATTTCTATTGATTTTAATGGTAAAAACTTCATTTTCATGCAGGATTAATGATTCAATCACCAAAGGATGTCAATTGAGGAGAAAAGTGGATAATTGGTGATGAATTTAAGTGATAAAGAAGAAATGAAGTGAATTGAAGAAATGCAAGTGAAAATAACTTTGACGCATTTCGACTATATCTGGAGCTACACATATTGGATTGAGGTGATATTTATACCATTTTGAAGGTAAGAGATAGATCTAAATTTGGTATGAAGACATCAGTATCCAATTCAGCTGTTTTCTCAGTCAAAAGGTCGAAATACCAAAATTCAACACTGCTGTCCAAAGTTGAAAACAGGGGTTTGACCAGGTGATAATATTTCGATCATATCTCAGTCTACAAAGCTCCGATTGCGATTATTTTTAAAGCATTTTAAAGCTAATTCAAAGGGTTACAACTTTTGTGTTTTGTACAAAAGCTAGTTCGGCCTCCATCATAGAGAAAATTGCAGTTGAAGCGAGACCAATTTCACAGAATTGAAAACGCGACTCCAAGCCGCATTTTGTGTAGGCGCGTTTTGTAGCCGAAATTCTGCAATTTGCTCAGCCATTTCTCTTGTGTTCAGACTACTTTCCAGCTATAAGTTGCAAGGGAATTCGGCGCACATGCTTCAGAAGACAAAAGAGCAAACAATATAGCTTATTTTCAAGTCAAAAACCTTTGTTTTTGACTTGAAAACAAAAGGAGATTTGGAGAATCATAGCAGAAAGTTTGGACTGGTGAGGAGAGGAGCTTTTCATCAGTTTATATGCAGAGACATTTGGGAGGTTAGAGACTATCATACGAGAGAAAACTTGAAGAGTGCAGAAATGTAGTTTTTCCATTTCCTTAGTGTAGGATAGTTTTAGCTTGTTAGTTTATCTTGAAGCAGAAGATGGAGGATGAAGAAGGCAAGGAGATGAACTCATGTGACAAGGGTTACATTCCTTCCAAACTCTTTATCTTTTGTACCTGATTCTATTGTTGATTAATACACAAGTCTAGATTTTATGTTATTTATGTGTTTCTAAAGTTAATGCCTAGAGTATGGATGACCTTTCTATATTTTGTTAGTGATGTTTATTTGGTTATTTGATGATATTATTTTAAGCAAGTTATTTATCACTTTTGATATTCTCATCAAAATTAACTGCCCATTAATTGTGATTATCTAAGGTGTTAAATTTGCAATGAGAATTGGAATTTAACACTAGTTCAAGGAAGTGATAAACATAGGGAGTTCACTCACGAAAGTAGAGGTGTACCTATGTGGTTTAAGTGACTTGTTTCATGTAATTTTATAGAAGAAATGAACTTGTAGTTAATTTCATAACCACGAGAGTAGGTATGGTTTAATTACAAGTATAGTTGATTTACTACGAGAGTAGGTTTCACATACATTAGAAAATTACGTCAGAACTAGTCAAGATAATAGCATTCACTTAACCGGTAATCTCATTTGCAAGAGTAGTGAGGAATTCCATATCTCTAGGAGCTTTCTAGTGTTAATTTTCATTACTTTTATATTTATGGTAGTCTAGATAATAAAGGAGTTTGAAAATCACCGGTAATTGCAATCTTCCCTGTGGGATTGACCCTTAATACACTATACTCGCTCACGATTCGTACACTTGCGATAAATCACGTGTGGGGTATTTAGGAGTTTATAAATGTAAAACTTGATTGTGAATGAGCTAATTGTATATGTATACCCCACGCACGTCACCATGGTTTCATGAAAAAATCAGAGAAAGATGTGATCGGTTGATCTCCTATTGTGTAGTGTAATACATGCCACAATTTCCTTTCCATTCCATTTGAAAAGAAAACAGAACAAAGAAGGCAAAGGCCTCTTTCTTGATTGGTTTTCGTAGCACCTAAGGAACTCGGGTCAAATCTTCTCCATTTTTTATAACTTTTAAAAAATTGATGGATTAGTTGTGTGTGTGTGTATGTATATATAACTTTTGTGTGTGTGTGTGTGTGTGTTGTATGTATGACTTCACATTTAAGACCCTAAATTTATAAGATATTTGCAATTTCCCCCTCCAAATTCTTTTGTTAGCACTATACGGTTTTTGTTCTCTTTTGTTAAGCTTCATTTTTCTATTTTCTTTCTCATTTTTGCTTTGTGTAAATCAACAAAAATGGCACGCTTGTAAGGCTTATTCATAGAATGGGCTTAATTATATGTTATGTATGGCAAAGTATATTTTTATTTAGTATTGTACAAAAGAAATTTAAAAATATCAAGAATAAAACATATATTTTGTCCAAAGTCATTAAAAAAGTGCTCTCAGTGATAGATGCCCCAAAATTATGCATTTTCTATACTTGTGGAGTGGCCTTGGATCATATTAATGTGTCTGGAATTTCTTAAAAAATCAATAATGTAGAACATTGCCCTTTTAGTATATGAATGGAGCGGTTCAAGATCTTATTAATGTGACTAGAATTCTCTGGAAAATCAATGAAGAATATTTCTTTTGTTTTTATGGTGACTCAAGATCTTATTAATGTGACTAGAATTCCTCGAGAAATCTAAGTAATGGATGAGATAGTTACTTATTACTAAGACATGTCAAAATAGAACCTAAATCTGTGTGGGGAAGAAAAAGCACAAAAATAATTCTTCAAAAGCTACTATCTCCGCCCAAAATGTACTTACAATTGAATAATACTCATTAATGTAACAACATTCTACGATTGTTGCACTTGGCCCTTAAATATCAACTGTATGATTAAATTAAACGACCTCATCATTAAAGTAAGATCTTCTAATAGTTAGTCGCTGGTCAACAATACAACAAAATTTTTGAAAGTGGTTAAGGGACTTTCAACTTGTAGAATTTAATTCTGTTAAGTAATTACTTTTAAATATAAATGAGATTGTTAATTGGGGTTCAGTGGCTCGAGAAGATCTCGAACATGTTAAAGTCCTCAATTATATTTCTAGCTATAGTTTGCTATTCAATTTTGGCGACTTTTAACAATTAGTTTTGAAAATATGCAAGCTATAAATTTGGTGGTACTATATAGTGTATTAGCTTTAACTAGCCAACTCTATAAAATAAATAATGTGACTTAGGTTGGTACTTAGTAAATGCAGTTATGGCACTGAATTGTGTGCAGATTTTAGTCAAGTTAGTTGTACTTCTACTATTTCAACTATTATATATTGACTATTGTTATACAAACCTATACCCACATACTAAAAAAAATGTCTTCTGTAACAGAATCAAGATCTGCAGCATTTGAACAAAGGCTTTGAGAAATCAGTTATGTAGCGAACCTATTAAAAATAGTACTGATTTTAGGACTAGTCTTTTACTTTTGCTTTTTATCCTTTCATGTGAAACAGTCAAAAGAACCAGCAAATTTCTTTTCATTCTCAACTATAGAAAAGCCCCTTTTGGAGTCAAATTCCACAGATTCTCCTACAAAAAATTAGCCATCTTCTGTTTGGACTTATTGGTTCCGAGAAGGCATGCCATCATAGGAAGGATTATATGGAATCATGGTGGCGACCAAATGAAATGCAAGGATATCTAAATCTTGACGCTACTCCAACAGGAGATCTTCTGCCCTGGTCCTCAGCTTCTCCACCTTATAGAGTCTCTGATGACTTGACCGAATTCGAAAATGAAATGAATGCAGCTGCACCTACTATGATTCGCATGGCACATGGAATTCTGGAAACAATTAGAGAGCATCATGAAGATTTCAGATGGCCGGTTATGGGCCATGATGATATAGTATTTTTTGTAGACAATATACTTGATATTCTTGCCAAACATGACCATACTGCTCGGGTGGCCAAGCTGAACTTGTTTTGTCAAATTTTCGGTACTCGTTTAACATGTCTGGTGGAGCGGGATGTTTTTTCAGTTGTCCCTTTAGCGAAAGCATTAGCAAATGGTATGGAGAACTGTCCAAGGAGATATGCACACTTGAATACTGCTGCCCTAATTATAATGTCTTGTACAGCTGATTTTGGAGTGAATCTTTCACCTGAGAAAGGTATGCATCCGGTAAGTTTGGAATCAGAATTTGACTAACTAGTAGTTGCCACTTCCCACCCAAACAAGAAAAGAAATGAAAAACAATTGTTACTAAAGTTGTTGCAATTAATTGAGTACATACTAACACTAGACTCTACCCTGCGAATCAAAATTTAAGTTTTAATGAAATTCAATGCAAGATTGCCAATTTCTTAATGGTTACTAAATCTAAAACTGAGAATCGGGCATAGCTAGTCTAAGTTGTATATGTCAGGGAGAAATATCTCGAGAGAATTCACCAAAAATCCCAATATGTAAATTAAGAACCCAACTCTAATTTAAAAACTTAAGCTATTAGGTCTCGAGTTCTTACTTACATATTAACTGCTCTTTCTGTATCTCACAGACCAATGTGGGATATAATTCTTTATTCATGAATCTAATAAATTTCCCATTTCATGAGTAACTCCTCACGTTAAACTCAAATTTACAAACCCTTTTTCAAATCCACTTTAATACTCAATCATGGACCTACTCTTCTTTAATATCCAAACTAGATTCTGGACCACTATCAACCCTTGACGCCTTAGTCTAACACCAAACGGATCCCCTGCCAAATCCATGGCGCACCTGGTCCAATACCAACCAAACTCCTTAACATTTTGACACTTTGGTTCACCACCAAGAAGAAAATTTTGACCAGTCCAACTTTGAGAAAAATTCACTTGCCCTTGAGTAGTCCAATCTCGCAACCTGAAACTTTGATACCAATTTGATAGGAAGAAACACTTCGAGAAAATTCACCAAAGAGTCCAATATGTAAGTCAGGAACCCAACTCTGACCCAAAAGTTTAAACCATTAGGTATCGGTCCCTTACTTACAAATTAACCGCTTTTTCTGTATTTCTCGAATCAATGTGGAACATAATCCTTTACTCATGAATCTAACAGTATAAATGCTTATTGGGGATGCTTCAGAATTGAGTTGTCTTTTATTAGTTTTTGGATGCACACTTCCCTGACAAATGATTATCATGATTTTTAAGTACAAGACTTATGATTGACTAAATAGATGATGGAACTAAATCCATATTTCACAGATGGGATTGCCATTTTTTTGAGAAATTTTTTTGTGTTTTTCGTAAATATTCTTTCTATACATTTTTCAACTACCTCTTCACCTTACACACATCATGTTATCAAAAAGTGCTACAATTAATTTTCCTCAAAAAAAAATTAGAAAATGCAATCCAAATAGACATTTTATTTACTCTAAGAGTAATATTGGACAGTGTGGTAAATACGTTGAATAGTCTTAATTAATTATGACTTTCATCTATTAATTTCTATGTATATAGTTTTAATGTTCACTTTTATGTATATAGTTTCTTTTTTCTTCACTATATGAACTCTAGGAGTTTCAAACCTATTATTGCATTCATTGTAGATTGATTTATGTGGTAATCTTGCTGGATTCTTATCATCTCATCCCAAAACTCTCTTGATGTCTCTTCACCATTTCAACATGGTAGATCCAATTTTCCCTAACATGAATCGTTCGGAATCGACTCAGCACTTGATGAAAGCTGCAAATACTGACCAGTCACGTTTGTTGCAGCAAATTATTTGCTATTATAGGCAACATAGTTGGTCCATCTCTATTTCCTGGGGTTACTCCGTCCACATCTTTGAGAAAGTAATGCCACGAAGTTGGCTACAGCGCCCTGTTGAAACCTTCAGTCCATGGGCACATCCTAATCCAAATCCGCCACATTTCATGTTGTACACTTGATTGCCAAGTAATGATCCATGTGATGCTCCTCATGTGTTTTTCTTGGAGTCAATCGAGAAGACATCGAACAAGTCAATCTTTACAAGCTACAATTGATCAGCATGAAGAGAGTTACCACCGTGCTTAGTGGATGAACATGGCAATCACTCTGCTGATTTCGTATCCCACGTACATGTCCATTCACCAGAAACATAGCGCACTAAGGTATGTAAAGAATTTTCTACCTCGATTAATTTCTATATATATTCCGATTCTTTAAACGAGGGTTTAATTTGGTTTCGATTGATTGGAGACATCAAATGGAAAATGGAAATAGGTTAACATGTTAGCTTCATGTTTATTGATAGTGTGAAAGGTTTGATATATACAACCACGAGTCATCCATGCATCTAATTTTTGCAAGTCCACCTACAAAAAAACAACTTTAAAAATACAATATAGGTAAATAATAGATACAAATATAAGAATTTCTAAATATTAGGAACTGGATCATCTTTTAATTTTTATCTATCATATAAGTTTTTTGTTCCCGAATATGGGATTTTCCAATTTTTGTTAAGAAAATCCACTACACTAAACTGAATTAGTTTTGGACTGCAACACTAAAAGTAAGGATAAAGTTTCCACTGCTCATTATACTATATTTTCTTTGTGGAGAAATTATATTTTTATTCTTTTTTACCTGTCCACTTTCTTTAAAAGGGGAGATGTTTTGCCACGAAATTTTTCATTTTCAGAAGTTTTTATTTCCCCCTTTTTTTTTTCTTTTGTTCTTTTGTTCTTTTTGAAATATAAATACGTTTACTGTCTTGCCAAGATACTTATATTATCTTCCCAAACAAATTTGGAAAGAAAGAATCATTTGTGTCATTACCTTTTTTTCTAAGATATTCTTTGTATTATTTTTCTTCGGTTCTAAAAAATCGTTCAAGACAAGTGAGATGCATCTCACTAAACATTTTCAAGGTGTTAATTTTCCAATTGCACAATTATATGCAAAATGATGAATATGACCTTATAGATTTAGGTTTTGACTTACGTGATGAGTTCAGTCACTGCAACCAAGCAAATAGATGGAATGCTCAATTTAATCACTTTTATAAGTTTAATAAATCAATTGACTCAAGAAAAAACATAGTGAGCAAAATAAGCCTTTCAAAATCTTCAACTAGTTTAACATATTTATATTGTCATGCCCCATCTTTTGAAATAAAAGAGAAAGGTGTTCAAAAATGAATTTTTTGATTTTAGAAAATAAAGAAAATGGCATAAAATGGGACATAGAAAGTACGATGGTTCGGACCCAAAATAATAGTCTAAAAAGGATTTTTATAAAAGGAGAGTCGCCACTTGGTATTGAGTTTTAGTGTACCAAGTCACCCAAAAACGTTTTAAAAATGAAAATAAATAAAATCCCTTTAGACGACTCCAGGTCTTTACAAATGAAAGAAAAGAATTCGGGAGTCACGGCTGAAGAAAGAGAAGGCAAGGATTTGATCGATCAAATCTAAGATACCCTTTTAACCTAACCAAGACTAGTTGCGAGATTTAGTCAAAAAATTTTCTAATCCAACCTTTAAAATTTATTACATTTGGATGCTTGTCTATGGATGCAAATCTAGACCTAGGAGCTGTCGGGAAGAATACAATATCTTTCAAAATTTAATTGATACCAATCACATTAATTATGAAACCCAAGAATAATCCTTTGAAGTGGTCACGAAAATGCAAAAGATGATACTCCAAAAAAAAATTATGATATATAGATAAATATACATGATCTAGAAGAGGGGAATACAATATAAAGGGTACGAAAAACTAAAATTCGTGATACAAATTTTCTTCTTATAGGGGGCTAATAGCGTGCTAAGGGTAAAAAGCCATACTTGCCCATTTTCTATATTCAAATGGTGACTCTTATTGATAAGGGTTTATTTTATGTATTTTTTAAGTGCATTTTATTAGTTAATTCTGGTTCCATTATTTAGTTTTATAACTAAAATAACTAAGTTTTGGTAAAAATCAACATTTTATGTTAAAATGGCTAACATTGTATTTCTATTGATTTTAATGGTAAAAACTTCATTTTCATGCAGGATTAATGATTCAATCACCAAAGGATGTCAACTAAGGTGAAAAGTGGATAGTTGGTGATGAATGAAGTGAATTGAAGAAATACAAGTGAAAACAACTCTAACATGTTTTTGTATTTTGACTATATTTGGAGCTACACATATCAGATTGAGATGATCTTTATATCATTTTAAAGCTAAAAGATAGACCTACATTTGGTATGAAGATATCGAAATCCAATTCTACTGTTTTCATGGACAAAAAGTCGAAATACAGAAGCTGCATTCTATGGATGAGACTAAAACATGGGTTTAACCAGGTGATAGTATTTCGATCATATCTCAGTCTAAAAAGCTCTGATTTGGATGATTCTTAAAGCATTATAAAGCTAATTCAAAGGGCTACAACTTTTGTGTTTTGCACAGAAGCTAGTTCGGCCTACAGCATAGAGAAAATCGCAGTTGAAGAGAGGCCAATTTCACAGAGTTGAAAACGTGAGTTGAGAAAACGCTGCTTGATGGTGCATTTTGTCAAGTCACGTTTTGTAGTCGAAATTCTGCAATTTTCTCAGCCATTTCTCTTGTATTCATACTACTTTCCAGCTATATTTACCAAAGGGAATTCGGTTGCACATGCTTCAGAAGATACAGGGCAGAAAAGATGGCTTATTGTCAAGTCAAAAACATTTGTTATTGACTATTTTAACAAATTTTAGATTTGGGAATCCAGGGGTAGAAATTTGACTAGTAAAAAGGAGCTTTTTCATCAGTTTTTATACAGAGCAACAAAGAAGAGAGACATACGGAGGCAGAGCTTGAAGAGGGCAAGAAATACCACAAAAATGTAGTTTCTTGGTTCTTTAGTATAGAGTAGTGTAGGATAGTTTAGTTTTAGACAGTTTATCCTTTCTTGTATGTTAGCTACATGAAGATGAAGATGGAGATGAAAAATGAGAAGTTGAATCTCAAGTGACATGGGTTATCTCTTCTCTAACTCTTTATCTTTTGTATTGGATTCTTAAATATGGTTAATATGCAAGTTCTGGATTTCATATTTATTATATGTTTCTAAAGTTTATACCTTGGGTATGGTTGAACTTCTTATGATTGTTAGTGTTTATTACTTGGCTATTTGATACTATTACTGGAGCAAGTTATTTAGAACTTTATATCTCTAAATCATGATTAATCTGGTACCATTAATTGTGATTATCTAAGGTGTTGTTTCTGCAATGAAAATTGAGATTTAACACTGGTTCAATAAGTGCTAAATATAGGGAGTACACTCACGAGAGTAGAGGTGCACCTATGTGGTTTTGGTGATTAATTTCATATAATTTCATTAAAGAAATGAACTTGTAACTAATAGGTACATAACCATGAGAATAGGTATGGATTAGTTATGAGTATAATTGATTTGCTACGAAAGTAGGATTCATATGCATAAGGAAATTACACCATAACTAGTCTAGATAGTAGTATTCAATAACCCAAAAATGACACTTGCATGAGTAGTTAGGGATACCATAATCTAAGGAGCTTTCATTTGTTATTTTGCA